AGCCCTGCACAAGGGATGTTCAGGTATTCTACACCAGACCACAAGGGTTTTTCATTAGTTCCCCTGGACATCCTTATGGCTCCTTGTCTCTGGCAGGGACTCACAGGGTGACCTTTAACTCCCTGACACCTTCTTGTCTGTTTTCCTTCTTGTCTGCACAGTGAAGACATCAGTGCTGTGATCACTGACCAGCAGCAGCATACTCCATAGTCATTCATGTGCTGATCACTGCAGCCATGCAGGATTTTCTGGCAATATCCAAGAGAGCTCACTGAGCCAGCCCCACTCAGGCCAGGGAGGGGCTGCCATCGACTGGGAGCATTGTCTCGGCCTGCTGACCACAGCTGTTTCCATCCAGCCCTCTCATTTGATTATGAACTCCTGTGTGTGCCATGAACAAATGTGCACCTATGCAAAAAACAGGATTCTCCTATTTCCTATGATAAGAAGCACTAGCTATTCATTCTCATGATTATCCCCTGGAAACCCAGAGCAGCAACATGTGGAAGCAGAGCACACTGCTGAATAAACCTCAGCCAGCAGTCACCATAGGGCTCTAAGTTTTGGGCTGGAGGTGTGGATGAGTGCTACATAGAGACCACCACATAAAAAAAAAACCAGCTCACAAAGATTTAAAAAAAATCTTTCCTCCCTTTCCCTTCCCATTCTTATGGGTAGTGCAGTGCTACTGACTTTAAACTGCTATGCAACTCCCAAGGGTGCTGCCAAAATGCCGTTGCAATGTCTCATGGCACAACACTTCAGCCAAATACCACCCCGAGGGGGTGGGGGAACCAACTGTCCCCTTATATATTGCAGCAGCAGTGATGTCATACGCTCCAGCCGACTTTGCTGGTTTGCCCAGCTTCTGGCTAGTGAAAAAAAAGGCTGACATTCAGTCTGTGCCAGGCCAGGAATAGTCTGTAATTTAACCTCCTCATCACAACTTGCAATGTACTTAAGAGAGACACTGAGAAAAGCCTCCTATTTAAAAGAGAGGGGAGGTTGGTTTCTGATTCAGCTGCTTGAAATCTATGTATTCATGCAAGCTTTTTCAGTAGCTCATATCAGACAATGCTTATTGTTAACCACTCACACATTCCTCAGCATTTCCAAGCAGTTCCAAATGCCCAGCGGTGCTTTCCTCTGTCTTTAAAATAGACTGAATTCAGACATCCTTAAATGTTTGAACTAGCTGAATCCTGGCCTAAGCTCAAACACTGCACCTTGCTTGCTGGGTCTATGTTTGTCCAGAAAGGTAAAGAAATGGGGCTTTACCAAGTTATTAAACCAGTCAAGAACAGCTTCTTTGCTGAAAGTTCAGAAGTTGCTGTCATACCTATACGAGCTAGATCAGTACAGTGCTGCTGTTTCCACCCAGTCCCAGTAATGACCTACACCTTGAACACTTGGTGCAGATACAGCTTTTCTAGCTTGAAACATTACACTGCCCAAGTACAGGTATTATGTCCAGGCAAGACAAGGATCATCACAAGGGATTCAGAGACAGTGACAGTCACTATTCTTTTCTTGATCGGTGGCGCCGAGTTGTTTTTGTAACAGTGACTCCATCCAGGAAAATTATTTCCATCTAGGAAAACGTTTATAGTTACTCTACTCACTTTTCAGCAAAAGTTCTCAATTTACAAGCGACAGTACGTTTCTCCAGACCTCTATCCAGGAGATCTGAAAGGCAAGGTTCCTCCTAGTTCAGGCACCACCTAAATGCTGATAAACATTGTGCTGCTGTAATTTAGTCAGCAGCCCTGTTGATGAGTGAGTCAGAACATAATCACCATCTCCCACGGCTGTGTTGGTTTTGCACAGTTAAGAGTACCACAGAAGCAGTAAAATTGAAATTTAACCTCTGAGCAAAGAACTGAGTGCACATTTCTGAAGTGAGGGTGCCCTTTGACATCTGTCTGCAGCCCGATGTAGCATTGTTTTTTGATTTTTTTTTCCTTTAGTTTTACTTTTTTTTACCCAGACTTCTTAAGCAGACCACAGAAAGCTCTGATTGGTACGGGCTTATCCCTAAACACACTGATAACTGTCATTCCTCAGGTAAGGTGCAGCAGACAATCACAGTGGGCCCTTGTTGCCACTTTTGCCAGTAGGTTTTTAATATCGTGAGCTGACTCAAAAGTTTCCTTAGAGAAGACTGTGCTATTTGCATTACCTCAGGACCAGGCAGGAAATCAATATATTCTTGCAAAGATTAAGCAAACTAGACTGAACCTTGGGGGTTTCCACAGCAAAAGAACAGCAGCAATGCATGTTCACCATAGCTGAGCTTTCTTTAGCATCTCCTGACTCTGGTTCACGCATGGAAGCAAAAAGATGTTTTGTTTACTGCCCCTTACCATCCCAGCTGCCCACCTTTCCTCTCCTCACAGGCACTGTGAAAACCATGGACTTTCAAACATCAGCTACATTAGTTCCCAGTCCACCAGATTGATGTCTGTATTTATTGACATAGTAAGTCATATACAGGTGGAGTGGAGGCACATATTTTCCTGAGTCCCTCTGAAAGAGTAGCACAGCAGGGATGTAGACAGCAGCAAGGAAGAAATCTTCTGGCACAACCCTTCATTTTAGCCAGGAGTTGTCACCCAGCCTTTGCAATGGGCAGCGTGCCATTGTTCACTGTAGTCTCTGCTGGGGCTACCAGAGTGTGCTGGAGATTGTGACAGTTGTTTGCTAGGAACCTGACTGCACTCCACAAGCTATCATATGCTCCAGGTGTTTGGCTATTGTTGCTCTGGGATGGATAGCTGCTTGTCTTTTTTGTAAGAAAGACTGTAAATCACTTCTAAAATGGTTGCGAAATGTGAATGAACAAATTAAGGAACGAATAGGAGACAATCTTCAGATCATTCAAACAAATGCTTTTGTTTTCAAATTATAGAGTTCACTTAAGATCAAAAAAATGCTGAAGGTCAGAAACATCCTCGGACACTACTTCTATCAGCCCTACATCACTGGACTACTTCTACCTCCTCACTAAAGATGGTTAGAAAAGAAGCCATATACAAGTATGAGAGTGAGTTCTAAAGACAAGAAGCAAATTACATGGCAAGTATGTACCTGTATTTCCTGTTTTTTTAACAGTTAAGAATCAAAACCAGGAGCAGGATGGTCTTTAATTTTTCTATTTTATCTTGCTGCATTATACTCAAAAATGTATGGGGGGGATAAAAGTCACTTTTGAAAAATTTTTGTACAAAGTAAGATGGAGAAGCTCTGTTAAGCTTATTTTATTTCTAGTGTAAGTCTATTGTAGTTATACATAAGTCATTGGAATTGCATGGCTGGAAAAATAGGATCTAGATTCACTATGACACTTGGAGTCTAAAAATAGGTTGGCTGAGATTTTTTAAAATAGAAAAGGAAGGTGAGGAGTGTCTTCATTTGAAAAAACAACTCAGCCTGAGTAATTCAGCTGATAAGCTGATTAGGCTCAACTCTGACTTTTCATATTTTGACCAGCACTGATAGGGAAAAACAGAGCCTTTCCAAGAGTCTCAGTGAGATGGGCAAAAGTAGAATCATGGATTTGGACAGCTGGAGAGGCTGAAATCTAGATCTCAATTCCATTGCTCAGTTCTACAGTGGATCCAAGCTTGAGATGGAGATATCTTCCACTTTCACAGAAGCTGCTACAGATATGAACTGTGTTGTTTCAGCCCATCACAGGTTCATAATGCCATTGTTTGAGGAAATGGAGATACACATCAAACTTTCCTTAGAGAGTGAGTTTTAGACAGCTCTTGAGTATGCTTTTAAACTGAGTCTCCCAGTAGTTTATCAATACCCTGCTCAAGTCCTTGAATGTGAGAATAAGCATCTGAAGAGTTTACAGAGAAAAAATGTAAAGAGTTTTAATGTGTAGATTTCAAGTACAGCTGAAGGGTCTATTTTGCTTTTCTTGTTCCATCCAAAGATTCCCCCACCCTGTATTCAGATTGATGTGGAGATAGACAAAAAACCCAGGCCGTGCGCCCTGACTGTGCCTCATAATCAGGGATTAATGGAAGGCTGTGATATTTTATAGTTGTGTTGAATGGATTACCTTTAGCTCTCAGCCGTTCTGGAACTGAAACCAAATGTTCCCTGTGCTACTTCAGTGGGTCTGCTGGAGTCCCCTAGGCACTCCTGCCTTCTGCTGGCTAAGCTGATGTTAGCAGCCACTTCAGCTTCAACACACCAACCCAACCGTATTTTGCTGTGAGTGGCTGAAGGATTGTACCGGAGCAATATTTGCCTGGAACGTGCACGGTAAACCCTCCTTACCTGTGGGGCCATTCAACTTTCTCAAACAAGGGTTGTGCTCACAGCAATTGTCATGACAAAGCTGTGACAATTAAGTTTTATCAGCTTTTCTTTCATTTTGTACATTTCTTTCATTCATTTTGGCAACGATGTACCCAATGACATCTTTTTTAGAGTAGTTTTTGTTACTAATTCTTCCTGGCCAAAAATAGCTAACCTTTGATAAATGCACTTGGAATTGTTTATGGTTGGAGATATGGAAAGAAAAGTACTTGAAATTTGTTTCTCATGTCCTTGTTTAAGAGCACAAGTAAAAAATATGAGTGAAACCACCTTTTTTTAATAGCTCTTTCCAGAAATTAAATCATCTACCATTATTTTGAATTGATCAAAATAACAATGATTTTTAATGATGTTCATTGTGTTGCTAGCATCTTGCTTAGAATACATGTAGGAGCAAATCAGTCAATGACTGATATATCTGGAAAATGTTCTCTGTCTGGTAGTGTTAATATAAAAAAAAATGATAATTTATAATTTTTGGCTTTGCAGAGAAGAAAATTTTCCTCAGCTATTCTGTAAGACGAGTCAATGTGCAGCCACACCTTCCAGAGGAATGGCTTTGTGCTTGTGAATTGCAAACAGCTGGAACTGCCTCACACAGCCACCTGCCTGTTCAACATCTGGAGTTAATCCTCTGGATATTTCATTCATGACTCTCATGAACAATGCAGGGGAATAAGAAACACGCAGAAGGACATAGTGATTCCTCAAGTATTGGGAGTCTCCTGGATGATGCAGACAGAGAGGTGAGCAGCCTCACAGATCGGGCCTTCAAAAGTTTGTGTGTAGCAGAACTTGAAGACTCTTACAATGAACCAGAACTTGCCATTTCACCAGACTTTGCCCTCCAGTTGTCTGCTAAAATTCACTCAGGGACGTTAAACCATGACATCAGGAAAAGCAATGTTTGTGACAAGCTAACAGCAAGAAACAATGAACATACAATATGGGCTTCCACATTCCAGCAGTTACCAAAGCGTGCTCCGGAGGAGAAAAGGATTGCTAATAATAACACCTTTGCCACAGAAAGGAAAACACTGAGTTTGCCAGTCCCTGGCCCAACAAACAATAAGCATGTTTCAAAAGTGTCTTCATTGATTAAGACATTTGATAAGACTGCAGACCAAGGGTCAAGAAGTTCTCTGACAGCAAATAAGCAGCCCATAAAGAATAGCTTTCAAAAACATAAAATAAATCATGGAAATTATATTGCTTGCTGGGATGATACAGACACTTTAAGCATCCACCAGGAACTCTCTGAATTTTCTGAACCTGGTCAAGGTAGTCACTGTCTCAGTGGCAAACATGAGCCACAGGAAAGACCTAATAAAGTGGACATGGGTTATGGTGGCTCTGATGGTTATTATCCTGTGCTGATTGAGATGTCAAAAGTAGCCAAGTCAAATTTTTCCCGTTCTTCTAAAAAGGCTTTAAAAAACAGAAATGTGAAAGTTAATGAGCCAGCAAAAAAAGGTAATTTTCTTCATAGTGAGAATAGTGCTTTTGAATCATGGAATGTTCATCATAAAAAACTGACTGAAAAGGAGGAATTTGTTGATACAAAAATGAAAAAGGAAGGTCTTTCATACCTGGAAGAAGCACCATTTATTAAAGGATCCCACACACATGAACATAAATTGTCACCTGTCATGACCACTGTTGCTAAGAAGCAAGAGAAAGATTTTCAGATTAAGCCAATTCCACCAGAAACTGCCTTCCCTCTCCCAGCTGTATATGTACCTCAAGGTCCCCTCCCTTCAGAAAATAAATTTCCTGCTGCTTTTCCTCCCACACCTCCCCCTAGGAACCATGCACATCAAGGTCCCACTCAGTCACCCCCAGCAACTCAGGCACTTCCTCTTCCACCCCCCACCCAGGAAGGCCATCCTGCAACCCCCCCTACCTCTGAAGCCCCTCCTGTGCCACCACCCCCACTGCCAGCTCGACTTTCCCCCACTGCCATGTCCCAAGCCTCTGTCTCACCCCAGTCCGTGTCCTATAGGATGGTTTCACCCTCACTCACGTTCCAGGCACCCAGCCCACCTCCACCAAGACCCCAGCCCATCTTAACTGAAGAGGAATCCCCCAGCCCCCAACTGGGCAATACCTGTCCACCCTGGAGAAGACAGAGGGTTGCAGAAGGGGCAGCAGAGAGGAGACAGGCTGCAAAGGAGAAGTTCACAGACAGACACAAGACATGTTCTTTGTCTGAAAAGCCAACTGGTGCCGAACCTGGTCTGGATGTGCCTCCTCTGGCTAAACAGGTAAACTCCCCTAGATCAATCAGTCCCTCTTTCAACATCATCGAACTCCTAACACCTGTCATACCACCAAAACAGGAAGTGGACACTGTTGAAAGTGAGCTGATCCCACTGACACCTCCTCCCTCTGAGAGCATGGCATCAAGAGACCATGAGGAGAGCAGCTTGGGTGATTACAGGTCTTGGGATAGTTACAAATTGACAGCATCAAGCCTGTTATTCAACTTGAAGGATGTGCGTAAACGTGTTAAAAGCATCTATACCCCTTCTCCCCTTTTAAGGGCCTTGGAGGAGAAAAATAAAACTAGGGAAAATATACAGGAGAGTACAAAAGTGAATGCCTCACTCTCGACTTTGAATGAAAAAAGTAACAAAAATCTTACAGAGAAAGATGAATTGAGTGATATAGCTTCAGTATTGTCTAGCTGTGTTCAGGAAAAGGACAATAAAACTGACCCAACCGGACACTTTACAGACAATTACCTGACTTCGAGGTCACCCCCGCCAACAGTAGACCTTTGCTTTTACCAAACCCGAGACAGCTTGGAGCAAGATGATTCAAAACATGAAGATCTGGTTAAAAACGCAAGGGATAATGAAAACTTCTCCTCGTTCAGACATGAATCAGATGAACCTGATTTAGGAAAACATCTGCAGTATCCAGCCCAGAGACCGTTCAGTAGAAACAATGTGGACAAAACACCTGGGCAGCCCATGCAAAATCACAGTGCCCAGGATGAGGGAGATGAGAGACAAGCTGCTATTCAGAATGAAAATTTTGCCTTCAAAACACTCCTAAACCAACTCTCACCAGTAGAAGATGTACCTTACAGTGACACCCAAACCAACATTGTGGTACCTGGCCATGAAGCACAATGCAAAAGAAGCACTAGTTCTTCGGAGCAATCTTTTGTCTCCACAGTAGAGCAGCCACTTCAGGGGGAGCCATTTCTACAAGTGCCCGTGATGCAGACAGCATGCCTTCAAGAAAGCCAGAGGAGTGAGAGTGAAATGAGTGCAGATAGTAAGAAAAGACTCAAGGAGAGAGGGAAAGAGGTTGGTGAAGATGAACTGCAATATTGTGCTTGTATCAGCCCTGGTATTAGTGCTGCAGAAAAGAGGGAGGAAAAGGTTACTGGGAATGAACAGAAGAGCTTAATGAAAGAGCAAGTAGAGAGAGAGAAAAGGGAAGAGGCCAACAGCACAAATTCTGCTTCCTACAGTATAAGGGATATGTCAGTCCCCAGGTGTGAGGAACCACAAACACCATCATCTTCAAGCTCAACCAAACCCAGCCTGTTTATGATTAAAGATAACACATTCAGGTCACCTCAAGTAATAAGGGCTGTCAAGCTGCCCCTATTCAGGTCCTTTTCCCTGGACGATACTGTTAGCAGTAGTTATAAGGAAATGGAACGTAGGTTTATGCCCCCAGCAGTTTACAACAAGCAGAACCAAAACTTGTTGCATGCCCAGGAGATAGGCTGGTCGGCATCAAGACACGGAGGTCAGCAGAATGTGAGAGATGGAGCAACTGACAGAGGGAAAGAAGCCAGTGAGCCTGAATCTACTTCAGCAACACTGGTTCCCCATCTTCTGGAAGGTACGGAGACCTTTTCATTGGGGAAATTGATGGAAGAAGATAGAAAGACTTTTGTTTTGTTAACTAAAGGTGGCAAAATGAATAAGGAAAGTGTCTGCAGAAATAAGGAGAAGCCTCAGACTACAAAGGCAAGACACAGCTTAACACAGCCAACTATAGGTCTGGAAAATGACCAAGCACAAAACAGCCCCAGCTATCCTGCAGAAATTAAAATGAACTACTTTAAGAATCATCATTTATCTAACCGCAAAGGTGGCTCTTGTGCGAAAAAAATAATCACTAGGGAGACAATTTCCCCTGTGACTGGCCCCATATCAGAGGACCACACATATTCTTCTGTATCCAATGATGCTTTAGAGGACATCCTACATACAGAAGGTGCACCAGTTTTGTTAGACAATCTTATATGTTCTGCTGTTCCAAGCCCCAGGTCAGGCAGCACAATGCCCTCTCTTGCTGCCAGTTCATTGTCAGATAAACCAACTATTTCTGGACTTGGAGAGACAGAGGATGTTATAAACCCTGCCTTGCTGAACATGGCACTAAGGAGGCAAGCTTATATGCCTGCAGAAGAGATACCTGATTCAGCACAGAAGAACCTGCTTCCTGATGTTGCAGGCGAAGCTGTGAGGTTGGAGCCTGAGGGACTTGGTGAGAGACCAACAGGCAAGCCACCCACTGTGCCACCAAAAACAGAAAAAGCTCTGCGTCGGGCTAAAAAGCTGGCAAGCAGGAGAAAGAAAATGCAAGAGCAGCAGAAAAAACATCAGACTGAGCATACAGATGCTGTAGGGAGAAATCCTTCTCATTCTGGACAGACAATAGCATCTGCTTCACCCTTGGGACATTCTCCCATCCATCCTCACCTTCACTCAAGTTTTACTCCCACAGAAACTAGTACTGGAAGACCTAGTGTTGCACCAGCAGTAAGCCCTTCACCCTCTTCAACCCAGCGTAAACTCCTCCAAGACCCTGACTCTGGTCAATACTATGTGGTTGATTTACCAGCTGAAGTTAATTTAAAGACATTTTATGACCCAGAAACTGGCAAATATGTTCAAGTCTCAATCCCTTCCTTGGAACAGAATTTATACCAGTCCACCTCTTCAGAAATTAACAATTCTTCCTATGCCTCCTATCCTAGAGTGTTTCCTTTACCGGCTTCATCAGTAGCAGTGCTGAAGTCACCTTCTCAGCTCTCTAAACCTACCTGGTCGATGCCTGCTGTACCAGAACCAGCTGAACTACGTGAAGATGCCCAGCAGGACTACAGATACACTGAATCTGTGGACACTCAGCCCTATATTGAACCAGCCCCTTACTCCTACAGTCAAGATGCTGAAGAAATTCAAGTTCACTTAGGAAAGGACATGAGCACAACCCCAAATACTGGCATAGTGACCCTCACGGATTTAGATGATTTTGCTGCTGAAGGAGTATCTTGAAAACTGAAATAACAAAATATGCCAGCTAGGATTTTTAAGAACTGTTTGGACAGACACATGCACACAAAAGCACATGCAGGTTTGATGTTTGTACACTTCGTCTGAATCTCATTGTGGTTTGGGTGGGAAGGAAAGTGAAAGCTGACTGTATTGAAAGATGCAAGGTGATGAGCACTCTCAACAAGAGTGAAATTTAGGAAGCACCAAATTATCAGTGAGATGAAGGGGCAATGCCAGCTAGACAAATACATATGACAGTATGAAGCCACTGCTTGCTGCTGCTGCTGTTTTGCAATTAAGGAGGCTGGGATAGCCAAAGCAAGTGTCCTTTTGCCCAGATGTGTTGCATGACACATGAGACAAAATAAAACTGTGAGACCATCTTATCCATCCTATGAGACCCATGACAGATGCTGCATCTACTGAACTTTCCTCACTCACTGCCTTTGAACTATATTGACAGATAGAAAGTATGTGGCTATAAATATGCCATATTTGCAAGATTCATTTTTTGCACACACCGATTGCCCCAATGTTATTGACAAGAAGATTGTATACTGGAGGCACAATACAACAGCCATGTCAAAAAACCTCAAATTTTAAACAACCAGAATACAGCTGCAGCTGCTCTTCTCACATACTTTTGCAGTGTCCACTAACATGCTGCTGAATTCTTTATATTTCTTGATAATATCCAAATAGGTTCCCCCAGGGTCAGGGTATATTTATAATGCAACTTAAATCTTGATTTAGGCTTAAATCTTGACTTAGGCTTAAATCTTGACTTGGCCTGAAATATTTTGGTGAGTAGCAAGGTTGAATGAAATCCCATAACAGTATTTAATTGTATATTAGGACAAGAAGTTCTTTGCTTATTGTAATTGAAATGTGCTTTGTTTTGTTTTCAGACTCCCACTGAATGGCAATAATTTTTAAAACCTGAAAAATGTACCTAATTTTGATCTTGTGAATTCTGTGATTTAAAACAAACAAAAGATGCAAAACATCCAAAGTATTAATTTTTAGAAAAGTGTTTCTTGGAATTATCATTTCTCTTTAAAAGATCTGTATCACTCATCCTTGTGTAAGCTCTTTTTCATCATCATAAATAATGAGGGAACCTAGGTGAAAAGATGAAAAAATTGAATGTAATGTACCTGCTTATAAATATCTGTATTTGGAGTATTGGTTTAGTTTTTTTCTGTCTCATTTGCATACTGTTTTCCCCAATTAAAACTGAAGTGCAGAAGCTTTCAAGAAAAATTAAGCCAGTGACTGTCAGCCTGATTCACATCTTAGGGTGTTTTCACAGGATTGCTTTCAGTGAAGCAGCTTTTGACTTCCTGAAAAGAAAGGGAAGAATCAGGCCTTTTAATAAATAACATTACAAAATAGTAAATAATAAATACAATGTGAAGATGGGACACAGGCACTACTCCACTCTCCCTATGCTAATATTTATAGCAGAGGTTTTCAGTAAATTTCCCAGGATTGAGGCTGCTCTCAGGACACAGAGCAACACTTGTGGTTTGACTCCTTCCGTAACCTGAATGCAGCTCTCAGCCTTCCTCCATCCCTGACAAGAGCCATTATTCACAACCTGTCCTGATCCCACCAGACACTTCCTTTCATCAGTGTCATTTGCTAAAACATTTCCTTTAGAGGTGCTAGACAAATACTAAGGGCATTGCTTCACTGATTTCAGTGGGGTTTGAATTTAGCCTTTAATGATTTTCTGAGATTCTTTTCACCTGTTAAACATTTTGTGATTTGGTAGGTTTGGTTGCAGCAGGGGTGTGGGGTGGAAATGAAGAAGCTTGTACTGGTATGGTTTGGGTTTTGAGCATATTCAACCAAATGCCCACATTTGAATAAACATTTATTGTTCAGTCTCCACCCTTGAAAGTTTTCAACACCTGATTGGATAAAGCCCTGAACAACCTGAGCTGGCCTCCAAACTAACCCTCCTTGAGCAGGAGGTTCATGCAGAGAACTGAGATCATTTGCAACCTGAATTAATCTATGATCCTGTTCTGCAAACATTAGAATTTTAAAATCAACTTTGACTTGGAACTCAGAAAATACAGTCTCCCCTGGGAAAGAGTTCTTTTTGAAATAAATTTTTAAAAAATGAATACCAATACCAATACCAAATATTTTAGGAACAAAGATTAATTTTCAAGTTGTTAAATGGCGCTTATTATAAAAACTTTTCTTTTTCTTTGGTTTTTTTTTTGTTTTTTTTTTTGGTCACAAATATTTTGCTAAACTGATGGTGCTATTCATGTTGCACTTCTTTGTCACTCTATAGAGCATAACTTCTATCCAGTATGGAGCAGAATCTAATCCATGTTAAAATATAGACAAATAGATCTATGAGGTTTCCATGGTACGTTTAGACAAAACCTATGTAATCTGAAAGCCTAGCAGAGTGTAAAGCAATTTTTTTGTGTGTGATATTACAAATTTAAATGCTTTTAACAGCCACAAGTCAAGAAGTAGTCTCTCAGAGGACAGGATAAACACTTGCTTTCCAAGGGAAGACTATGGATACAAAGTATCTGTGCACATATAAAAAAATAAATGTTAATTTGATAACAAAAATATATGACTTATTGAAAAAAAAATCCCTTTTATTTCATTAAGTGTCATTTGTTTTGTAGATATGCACACTTCTGCCCCCTTTTATGAAGGGTCTTCTTGAACTTATTGTGGAGAATGGGATGCTCCATTATACTACTTCTAGGTATGTGAGGAAAGCAGGGTGTGCTTTTCACTCTGCTGTGAAGGTAAACTGAAACATGGGCACCTCAAAAGGAGTCCTAACTTGAATACCTCATACATTTCAAGTAGGACTTCTTCATTTTGGACTATCCTTTCTGCTAGCTTCAGGGAGCTGCATTTACAGTGGACTGTGTCTCTGAACATGTCCCAGAGGGAGTTTTGACTAGAGAATTTGTAGCTAAACTGTTGTAGCAAGGTGGGAGGTCTTCTCCAAGGTAATAAGTGACAAGACCTGAGGAAACAACCTCAAGCTGCTCCGTGGGAGGTTTAGATTAGCTACTAGGCAAAATTTCTTCACTGAAAGGGTGTTCAGCCATTGGAATAAGCTGATCTGGGAAGTGGTAGAATCACCATCCTTGGAAGTGTTCATAAGGTGCGGTGAACACGTGGTGCTAGGTTAACTGCTGGACTCAACTATTTTACAGGTCTTTTCCAACCTTAATGATTCTATGAAATGAAACAAACAGAACAGATGAGAAAGTGGTTCTTTTCATGTATCCAGAGCTTTCCCTAGAGCACTTTGCCACAGGGATTGAATGATATTATAAACACAATATGTTTGTCTGTTAAAAGGAAGACAAATTACACCTTTGGAATAACAAATATTTTTCTTTCCTTGCCCTTTTCTGTTTGTCTTTGTTGGGAGGATATTTTCCATTGCTGCTGTGGGAAACAAGGCTGAAAGAGGTCAACACTAGGCAAAATGACAGCTGTGAATTGACCCCTTTCTTTGGAGAGGGGTGCTATGGGAAATGTGCAATAGTCATGAAAGCACTGTTTCATGACAGTGACATTAAATCATAGATTAAAGAGGTACTGAGTCAAACTAAACTAAATTCTGCCTTGCCACCAGATGGGGATTAGGACTAAAGAACACAGTAGTTTTTTTGCATGTGTGGAAGCACAGTAGGCTGAAGGTAACAGAGGCCATTATTTTCACTGTTTCCTTCTCCTGCATGTGGCCTTTTTGCATGTTGCATTTCTTGGTGCCCTGAGGCTTTTTTTGCAGTGATGATACTTCCTTGGCAGATGTGTCTGAGGTCAAACCTGATTTACACCTAGTCTTTGATTCTAGGGACAGAACTTCCTCCTTTTGGACCTCCTCCTTCTGGAGCAACTGCAATGCCTCCAGTCCAGCTGTCACATGGCAGACTTGGACTGCAATCCCACAGCCATGGCTTTGTCCCAAGGGCTTGAATTTCCTTATGCAAAATGCTGGATTTTTTTTTTAGAGAATTCGGTTCAATTAAAATGGCCTATGGGCATGGATTTTGCCAACTCCTCCTTGGGTGTTCAGTGCCTTCCTAAGTAATTTGTTCAAGAAGATGTGTGTCATTGGCACGTTCCATCAATGCAACTGTATTTGCAAATAGGTAATTATTTATTAATTAATAAACAAAATAAATGGGACTTGTTTTGCAATACTGGAATGCCTTTTAGCCAGCTTTTTCATTGTAATTATATGTCTTTGTAATTTTGTCTCCAGTTATGCTGGCAGAAAAAGTTGACAAGAGAGAATTCTGTGCGTGCATATGTGTGGTACACAATTAAAAGATCTAGGAGATGACAGGGTGCAGGGCTCCATCCCCCTTCCTCCTGTTCCTAAAGAGAGGGAGCAGAAAGCTGGGCAAAAACACCTTTGGTCCAGGACTCCTGTGGTCATTCTCACCCCGCCCTGCTCTGCAAGGACAGTGGTCTGGCCAGAGGACCTTGGGAATATGGTGCCAGCACCCAGTCCAAAAGCACTGGAAGAGGATGACCTTCTTACTACCACCCCGAAGACATCAGGGCTTTTGTATTCCCTCTGCCCCATCCATCTGGGGGAAGTTACCAAGAGTGTAACTTGCTTTATTTCACATTTCTCCTCAGTATCTCTTATTGTATGTTGCATTATTAAACACAACAAGGACTCTTCTCAAAGTGATTTTGGCTCAGTCCTTGTCCAGACTGTCAATTTTATTTAGGTCTCCTCTGCTTTGGTCCCTGACTAGCCAAGAATTCCTTGCTGACAGCAGAAGTGTTACTGTGATTTGAATATAACAGCCCATAAAGAGAAGAGTTGGCTAGTTATGGTTTATACCAGAACTACACTGAGAGGTTTGCATATATGTATTTGGGGGATATACTCTGTTTCCTTTCTGAGTAAATAAAGAACTCTAAGTTTGATCCCCTCTCTCACTCAAAAGCAGCATCAGAAGCTGGTGATATTGTACATGATGGGTTACATGGGCTC